GAAATATTAAAATAATGGCGAAAAAGCACAATAAGACGAGCCGTAAAATAAACTAATATTTTGCTACGTTGACATCATTTTTAGATAATTGCGGAAAGAAAAATTCATCATGAACGCACCAACAATAAGTATTTGCACAATGTTGCAAATGACGATCCGATGGGAACAAATAACGCAGAAATACATGGAAGTATGTAATCTAGTTACGTTTGAATGTCAATACTCGTTATAATATTGCAAAATTGAAATCATGGTATTTCTGCTCTGATTCAGCTCGAAAAAAACGACTCGCCATGTTAAATCTTTTAATATCTGCTTCCGAAAAAAAACATTTGAATGATTTGGATATCAAAGAGGAAGTGGATACTTTTATATTCGAAGTAGGTATACTCATGTAATTTTTCTCGACAGTCTGATATATTACACGGATACAACTAACACACAAACTGATTATAAGGTCATGACACAACATCGCTGTCTATATGTTTCACTCTATTACTACTAGCGGAACATAAGAATATTCAGGTACTTCTCTATAGAAACATAAGATATATAACAGTTTAAAAGGAAGCAACTGATTAATTCTGTTCAATCATTAAGTTGTTAATTAATTCCTGTTAAAAAGGTAAAAGCTTCAAGTACTCGTCGCTGTGTATTTTTTTCATGCATTAATCGAAATTAATCGATTGAATGAGATTAATCAGAAACAATAACAATTATAAGCACATAACAATTATAAGCGAACGCAATAATGGCTATAATGATAAATAATAAAAGTACGGCTAAAATCATTTTTGAATTGCGACGCGGAACGGCAGCGGCATTACGTATATTCACAATGTAACTGCACGTCTCATCGGAGCAACGTAACGTGCAGATTCGTGCAGATTCGTGGATAGATATGTGTGAACTGCAAACGCAGTACGGACTGATGCGATTCTCTGCTGTAGAGAACTTTAAACTAACTGATAAGATAATTTGATTAATTAATATTTTTTTGAATCTGTTATATGTATATATATAATATAACAATGTCTTATTTTATTGTATTATTAATATAATATAATTATTATTATAATGATTAAATTTATTAAAGGTTTATCCAATGGTTTAATTATACTAAGTTTGATCCAATTATCTTCTTTTAATAATGTGCTTATCCTAAAATAAATATAAATATACACGTAGACAATTGCTGAAACTATTTCTTTGTGTATATATGAAAATATCACGGAGTAGTGAGGAATGCAATTTTAATTAGTGTTGGTTGTAGGATCGCGTCAGGGAGAAAGTCAATACAGTGATGAAAGAGTGTGAAAGAAAGTTGACTATGACGTCGTTGCACAATTTATCATATTTAGAAAGATGTTTGAAGCAATCGTTGTGGCTATACCCCAGCGTGCATTTTATAGCACGAATCACTGCCGATGATGTGAAATTACGCGGTAACAACCATGAATTTTTTAAAATATGTAAACATATTTTAAATTTAACGTTTTACAATTGTCGTAATTAAATTGAAATGAGATAGCCATGAGTAATATGAGTAATTTTTTATATTTTTTAAACATAGGAATTATCATAATATTTAACTCCTTCACTGTCAGGCGAAAATTGCATCTGAAGTCAGATTTTGAAAATTTATAATGGCGGATCCAATATGGATATAATCAAATATTTTCCTTCTACAGTCGATACTCGATGGCTTTCGGTAAAAACAGAACATGAAGATGATGTAGGAAACGAGCGTTCGATGTTTAATGTCGACTTTCCTCATATTCATTTTTATCTTTCTAGGAGTTTTTATCAAACGAGATTCATCGTAAAATATTAAAATTAAATGTATAGATGTATTCATTTATGATTAGATAGTAACGTGTCGTAAAGTTTATAGCTACATGAAATTAATAATAACGATTTGTTATAACAAGCACAATGGTACATTACAAATTCAAGTCTATTATTTTGGCTGGATATCTTTTTACAGATTTCTTCACTTAACGCGTTTGAATATATATTAACAATTAAACATTTCTCTTAAGCGCGTTAAATGACGTGACTTAAAATGGTGAGAAACGTGTAAAAAGATCTACAGTCAAATTATATGCCTATGTGTTTAAGAATAACACACTTATATTTGAAGTGTAGTTGATATCATTTGAAATATATCGGTATATTGATAACTATTACGTTGTTGAATATATTAATACGTTAATATAATAATTAATATGCTTATTAGTTAATTAATTAAAAGAAGATAATTGGATAAAACTTAGTATAATTAAACCACCTTTAATAAACTCAATCATTATAATGTTAATAATACAATAAAATAAGACATTGTTATATTATATATATACACATAACAGATTTAAAAAAAATATTAATTAATCAAATTATCTTATCAGTCAGTTTAAAGGTTCTCTACACCAGAGAATCGCATCAGTCTGTACTGCGTCCGCAGTTCACACATATCTATCCACGAAACTCCACGTTACGTTGCTCCGACGAAACGTGCAGTTGTATTGTGAATATACGTAACGTCACTGCCGTTCCGTGTCGCAATTCAAAAATGATTTTAGCCGTACTTTTATTATTTATCATTATAGTCATTATTGCGTTCGCTTATAATTGTTATGTGCATTATTCAAGATTTGGACGATTGATCGATCAATTACCAGGACCAAAGGCCATTCCTGTTTTTGGTAATATATTGCAATTACAAGTTTCAACAGGTAAATGAATGTCCTTCATATGTTTATTATTAATTAATAATTCACTAACGATCAATTTATTATTTATTCGGGAAAAAAATTATTAGCCTGCATGTTAATATAAAACTGTGAACATTACGAAGCAATGATGTTTCTTCTCTGTTTTATTCATTATTAACAACTGTAATTGGTTGCATGTCTGACTTACTTGAATAATAGTATAATGCCGTCAGAAGAATGAGAACGGTAACAACGCACATTATCGTTATTTTTAATACATTTGTATGTTTTAGAAAAACTCTGGGATCTTTTGATTAAACTTCCGAACCAATATTATCCCATTTTTAGATTTTGGGCTTTTCATATTCCCGCGGTATCTATCCGTCATCCAGATGATCTTGAGGTATTTAAATGAAAAAATGATACTACATAAAAAAAAAGATATATTTTCATACACAGTATCATATGCATTATTTCGTTAATGTTTTTTTATTAATATCTCGAAATTTTAATTGTTTGCAAAATTGTAGAAAAACTTTTTGCTCAGTTTGATCTAATCTATCTGCAGACATATCTTGAAGCGTCTTGTATCAGTCATAGTATATTGAAAACTTCTTCCTTATCACTCCTATATATCGGAGTGATAAACTTGCAATTCAGAAACTTTTCGGAATTTACACGTAATTTATTGTAATTTACATGTAATTGTATCGATACTTACATATCGTGAAGAGTTAATTTTCTAAATTATGATCTCTCGAAGATACGGCAAAGATACTCAAAATTGTTTGTGAAACGATCAATTATTTAGCTACGTGTGCGTTTGAATAATATAATAAAATAATATTGCACAATTCTACTTTCTATGGTTTCAGGCAATATTAAACAACACGAAGCACATCGAAAAAGGACGGGTATACGAGATTTTCCATCCTTGGCTAAACACCGGACTTCTTACTAGCACAGGTAACTCAATACTTACGATCATTATAGTATACGTGCGTTTTATATTATCGAATGCTGTACATTCGATATTGAGTAATTATCTTATCATAAAAGTTTTTCGATAAAAACGTAACGTATCATGATATTAGAAGGCATAGAACTGTACATATAAATGAATTGAAATATTTATCTAAGTAATAAAATCAAGCGCCGCTGTCGCGGCGCAATGCCGAGCACATATGAAACAAAATAACGCAACCGTGTAAGCTTATCTGGAATTTCTGGGTTGATTGGTCTTCTGAGTCAAATATCTTAAGCACGAAAACTATAATCGAAAATCTGATGAAAGTTTTCTCATATAATGTTTAGCGCGCGCGTAATTTGCACCAAGTTTGATTAAGATTGGTGCAGGCAATACGGAGATCTCGAAATCTTGCCCACGAAAAGTCCTTTTTATTTTCGTGGAGATTCTCAGATTTTTTCAGACACACATACGTACTCACACAAGCGAATGAGTTTGTCTATCAAGCCGCATTTGCATCAAGCAATTTAGCTTCAGATCACACGTACACAAGCGATGCGCGTTTGTTCGTCAGAGCAAACAATAGGCTACAATAAGCAGCATGTATTTATAATGATTGTCATTGATTCACTAATTTACGCTAGACTAGAGGAAAAGATTCATGATCGATCATTAGATATACATATCAAGCTATATTTAATTTCACGTACAGTTTCCTATAACTTTATATCAATCTGCGCTTGTAATGTCCGCGATCCGCATTGTGGTCCGCAAACGTGTCTGAATTTAAAATTAATTGGTGAGAAAGAAAAGATTTTTGTAAGTAAAATATTATAAAGTTTTCTTTATAGACTGCACCAATCAAAATGGACGTATATTACGTGTGCAATAAATATTAAATCGATCATCTTTTCGTCTAATGTAAACGCGTAAATAAAATAAAACAATTTTATTGATAATAAACTTCAATGATGATTACGATTGCGTTCCGATATTCACTATCAGTACTCAAGATCTATAGCTTGTGTCACGTATACGTATAAAGTTTCAGTATTGATAGTAAATATTGAAACGCAGCCTGCGAGTTCACATTAGAGGAAAATATACATCACTACACGGAGGAAATTTTATAGTAAAATGTGCTACAAATATAGAAATTCAGTCAAATTATATTCTATTACTTCAATTGTCAGAAAAGTTGAAAAAATCATATACTTTACAAGAATTAATAGAATATAATTTTAAAAGTTGAAAAAATAAAGAAAAAAAAAGTATATACTCCTTGTAGAGAAAACTTAATATAATTGAAAAAAGAGATAATAATAACAAAAAATCTTCATTTTAAAATTATTTAAAATAATGCTAATATAACAAAATGTTTAAAATCATAAATATAAAAATTTAAGGTGTATCTACGTCAATGATACATATAGGCACAGATATATATACAGGGTGTTCAAAAAGTCCCGGACCGGTGAAATATCTCGAAAACTAAGCATTTTAGAAAAAAATGTTTCAGATAAAAGTTGTGGCGTTTAAAAAGATGTATTTACTGATCACATCAGTTTGACCTTGGGTTGCGTAGCGAAGGTCAGGTCAAGGTCACATTAATTTTTTTAAATGGAACACCCCATTTTTCATTGCATATTCTTATAGCACATCTCGAGAG